AACCAGACTATAGGCTAGACTTTAGATTAGACTATAGACTAGACTATAGACTAGACTATAGACTAGACTATAGACTAGACTATAGACTACTCTATAGACTAGACTATAGACTAGACTATAGACTAGACTATAGACTATAGACTAGACTATAGACTAGGCTATAGACTAGACTATAGACTAGACTATAGACTAGACTATAGACTAGACTATAGACTAGACTATAGACTAGACTATAGACTAGACTATAGACTAGACTAAGACTAGACTATAGACTAGACTATAGACTAGACTTAGACTAGACTATAGACTAGACTATAGACTAGACTATAGACTAGACTATAGACTAGACTATAGACTAGAGATATAGACAGACTAGACTATAGACTAGACTATAGACTAGGCTATAGACTAGACTATAGACTAGACTAAAGGCTAGACTATAGACTAGACTATAGACTAGACTATAGACTAGACTAAAGGCTAGACTATAGACTAGACTAAAGGCTAGACTAGACTAGACTATAGACTAGACTATAGACTAGACTATAGACTAGACTATAGACTAGACTATAGACTAGACTATAGACTAGACTATAGACTAGACTATAGACTAGACTATAGACTAGACTATAGACTAGACTATAGACTAGACTATAGACTAGACTATAGACTAGACTATAGACTAGACTATAGACTAGACTATAGACTAGACTATAGACTAGACTATAGACTAGACTATAGACTAGACTATAGACTAGACTATAGACTAGACTATAGACTAGACTATAGACTAGACTATAGACTAGACTATAGACTAGACTATAGACTAGACTATAGACTAGACTATAGACTAGACTATAGGCTTGACTATAGACTAGACTATAGACTAGACTAGACTAGACTATAGACTATATATAGACTTGACTATAGGCTAGACTCCAGACTAGACTATGGACTAGACTATAGACTAGACTATAGACTAGACTATAGACTAGACTATAGACTAGACTATAGACTAGACTAAGACTAGACTTTAGACTAGACTTAGACTAGACTATAGACTATATAGACTATAGACTAGACTATAGACTAGACTATAGACTAGACTAGACTAGACTATAGACTAGACTATAGACTAGACTATAGACTAGACTATAGACTAGACTATAGACTAGATAAGACTATAGACTAGACTATAGACTAGACTATAGACTAGACTATAGACTAGACTAGACTAGACTATAGACTAGACTACAGACTAGACTATAGACTAGACTAGACTAGACTATAGACTAGACTCTATAGACTAGACTATAGACTAGACTATAGACTAGACTATAGACTAGATAGACTAGACTATAGACTAGACTATAGACTAGAACTATAGACTAGACTATAGACTAGACTATAGACTAGACTATAGACTAGACTATAGACTAGACTATAGACTAGACTATAGACTAGACTATAGACTAGACTATAGACTAGACTATAGACTAGACTATAGACTAGACTATAGACTAGATATAGACTAGACTATAGACTAGACTATAGACTAGACTATAGACTAGACTATAGACTAGACTATAGACTAGACTATAGACTAGACTATATAGACTAGACTATAGACTAGACTATAGACTAGACTATAGACTAGACTATAGACTAGAGACTATAGACTAGACTATAGACTAGACTATAGACTAGACTATAGACTAGACTATAGACTAGACTATAGACTAGACTATAGACTAGACTATAGACTAGACTATAGACTAGACTATAGACTAGACTAGACTAGACTATAGACTAGACTATAGACTAGACTATAGACTAGACTAGACTAGACTATAGACTAGACTATAGACTAGACTATAGACTAGACTATAGATAGACTAGACTAACTACAGACTAGACTATAGACTAGACTATAGACTAGACTATAGACTAGACTATAGACTAGACTATAGACTAGACTATATTAGACTAGACTATAGACTAGGACTATAGACTAGGACTATAGACTAGACTAACTAGACTAGATTCTATAGACTAGACTATAGACTAGACTATAGACTAGGACTCTAGACTAAGACTATAGATCTAGATATAGACTAGGACTCTAGACTAGACTATCGACTAAGACTTAGAGACTAGAACTATAGACCTAGACTATAGACTAGACTCTAGGACTAGGACTATAGACTAGACTATAGACTAGACTATAGACTCGACTATTAGACTAGACTATAGACTTAGGACTATAGACTAGGACTATAGACTAGGACTATAGACTAGGACTATAGACTTAGGACTAAGGACTAGACTATAGACTCGACTATCGACTAGACTATAGACTATACTTATAGGACTAGACTCTAGACTAGACTCCAGATGGACTAGGACTAGACTATAGACTAGTACTATAGACTAGACTATCGACTAGGACTATAGACTAGACTATAGACTAGGACTATAGACTAGACTATAGACTAGACTATAGACTAGACTATAGACTAGACTCTAGGACTAGGACTATAGACTAGACTATAGACTAGACTATAGACTAGACTATAGACTAGACTATAGACTAGACTATAGACTAGACTATAGACTAGACTATAGACTAGACTATAGACTAGACTATAGATTAGGACTATAGACTAGACTAGACTAGACTATAAACCAGACTATAGGCTAGACTTTAGATTAGACTATAGACTAGACTATAGACTAGACTATAGACTAGACTATAGATTAGACTATAGACTAGACTATAGACTAGACTATAGACTAGACTATAGACTAGACTATAGACTACTCTATAGACTAGACTATAGACTAGACTATAGACTAGACTATAGACTAGACTATAGACTAGACTATAGACTAGACTATAGACTAGGCTATAGACTAGACTATAGACTAGACTATAGACTAGACTATAGACTAGACTATAGACTAGACTATAGACTAGACTATAGACTAGACTATAGACTAGACTATAGACTAGACTATAGACTAGACTATAGACTAGACTATAGACTAGACTATAGACTAGACTATAGACTAGACTATAGACTAGACTATAGACTAGATATAGACTAGACTATAGACTAGACTATAGACTAGACTATAGACTAGGCTATAGACTAGACTATAGACTAGACTAAAGGCTAGACTATAGACTAGACTATAGACTAGACTATAGACTAGACTAAAGGCTAGACTATAGACTAGACTAAAGGCTAGACTATAGACTAGACTATAGACTAGACTATAGACTAGACTATAGACTAGACTATAGACTAGACTATAGACTAGACTATAGACTAGACTATAGACTAGACTATAGACTAGACTATAGACTAGACTATAGACTAGACTATAGACTAGACTATAGACTAGACTATAGACTAGACTATAGACTAGACTATAGACTAGACTATAGACTAGACTATAGATAGACTATAGACTAGACTATAGACTAGACTATAGACTAGACTATAGACTAGACTATAGACTAGACTATAGACTAGACTATAGACTAGACTATAGACTAGACTATAGACTAGACTATAGACTAGACTATAGACTAGACTATAGACTAGACTATAGACTAGACTATAGACTAGACTATAGACTAGACTATAGACTAGACTAAAGGCTAGACTAGACTATAGACTAGACTATAGACTAGACTATAGACTAGACTATAGACTAGACTATAGACTAGCTATAGACCAGACTATAGACTAGACTATAGACTAGACTATAGACTAGACTATAGACTAGACTATAGACTAGACTATAGACTAGACTATAGACTAGACTATAGACTAGACTATAGACTAGACTATAGACTAGACTATAGACTAGACTATAGACTAGACTATAGACTAGACTATAGACTAGACTATAGACTAGACTATAGACTAGACTATAGACTAGACTATAGACTAGACTATAGACTAGACTATAGACTAGACTATAGACTAGACTATAGACTAGACTATAGACTAGACTATAGACTAGACTATAGACTAGACTATAGACTAGACTATAGACTAGACTATAGACTAGACTATAGACTAGACTATAGACTAGACTATAGACTAGACTAAAGGCTAGACTATAGACTAGACTAAAGGCTAGACTATAGACTAGACTATAGACTAGACTAAAGGCTAGACTATAGACTAGACTATAGACTAGACTATAGACTAGACTATAGACTAGACTATAGACTAGACTATAGACTAGACTATAGACTAGACTATAGACTAGACTATAGACTAGACTATAGACAAGCCATTGTTTATACAAAAGACTATTTTATAGGCTATACTTTAGACTGTAAACTAGACTTTAGACTAGATTTTAGTCTAGACTTTAGACTAGACTATGGCCCATACTATATGCAAGACATTGTAAATGCTGTCGAAAAAATTTTCTGTTTTGTTTGTGTGTGGAATGTATTATACTTGTAATTCTCTATTGTTCACAAATTTTCCATATTTTTGTTACCAAAAAACCTGCTTATCTTTCACATCTGCTACACTGAGATTTTATCCTTAAACAGACATCATTAGTACCTGTAAGTGTAGTATGACTTTGCATACGAAATTAAATAATTGTCCTGTTTTGGAATTCATTTCAAAAATTTACTGCAAGTGTTTAATTTCACATGAATTTTGTGTATTTTTTTATCCTATTGTTTGCTAGAAAACTCCATATGTACAGGACCTTATGTACGAGCACTCCACATTCATCAACCACTTATGGGAATGGAAAAACTTTGTCATTTTTAATTACACCAAAATTAAAACAGGAATAAAACTTTCAACGAAATTTCTAATTCCCAACATTTCAGTATAGTTTTGGCAAGTGACAGATAAAGTTGAGTTTGAAAACAAGCTATATTTAAAACAAAATTTTTAATTGTGCAACAATTTGTGGCACACAAAAAATTCTATGCACAAAATTGTCAATTAAATTTCTAGTTATTTAAAAATTACTTAAAAATGAATAATTACAAATATAAAGGTTTATTACTGCAAAATGATTTTGAACATGATGAAGAGGATTTCCCTGAATCCCATACAGCCTCCACAGTTACGCTGATAAGTCAACGGCACCAGCAGCAGCAACAATTTAACAAAAGATTGTCTATGACGAAACCTAACAATCAAACACGAATTACCCAAGTTAAACCATATGAAAAATCAATTCAATTGCAGCAAGAGCAACAATTGCAACCATATAATATTCCCGGTATGATAAACAATATTCCCCCGTATGGAAAACACTATAACAATATCAATGAAAACAATTTCATAGCAGTTAGACGAATCCGTAAACCTTCGCTATGGCTGGGAAATGTTGAAAAAGCTAAACAACAACAACTACAACAAGAGCAGCAGCAAGTATTAAGAAATAAATCTAGAAATAATGATGCCATGACCTTTGACAATGACACGCTGATGATGAATGTTGCAAATAACGATGTTGCTGGGGATTTAACGCCACGCAGAATGCTGTGTAAAGGCGGATTAGTGTCGAAAGTCAAAGCGTTCATTATCGAATTCTTGCAGGATTCGTCTATACATGGTTTTGTGTATTTAGCGAAAATTGGTTTAAGTTTGATAGAAAGGTATTGCAATTAAAGGAAATAGTAAACTTTAAATCAGAATGTAAAATATGAGTTAAGAAACATATTTCGAGACTATATACACTGTAGGATAGACTATAGTCTATACCATAGTCCAGACTATAGACAACTCTATAGTCAAGATTATGGTCTACTCTATAGTCCAGATTATAGTCTACTCTATACTCCAGACTATAGTCTACACTATAGTCCACCCTATAGTCTACTCTGTAGTCCAGACTGTAGTCTACTCTAGTCCAGAATATAGTATACTCGATAGTCCATACTATAGACCACTCTGCAGTCCTGACTATAGTCTACTCTATAGTCCAGACTATAGTCTATTCTATAGTCCAGACTATAGTCTACTCTATAGTCCAAAATATAGACTGCTCTATAGTCCAGACCATGGTATACTCTATAGACCAGACTATAGTCTACTCTATAGTCCAGACTATAGTCTACTCTATAGTTCGGACTATAGTCTACTCTATAGTCCATATTATAGTCTACTCTATAGTCCATACTATAGTCTACTCTATAGTCCAGACTATAGTCTACTCTATAGTCCAGACTATAGTGTACTCTATAGTCTAGACTATAGTCTACTCTATAGTCCATACTATAGTCTACTCTATAGTCCAAACTATAGACTGCTCTATAGTCCAGACCATGGTATACTCTATAGACCAGTCTATAGTCTACTCTATAGTCCAGACTATAGTCTACTCTATAGTTCGGACTATAGTCTACTCTATAGTCCATATTATAGTCTACTCTATAGTCCATACTATAGTCTACTCTATAGTCCAGACTATAGTCTACTCTATAGTCCAGACTATAGTGTACTCTATAGTCCAGACTATAGTCTACTCTATAGTCCATACTGTAGTCTACTCTATAGTCCAAACTATAGACTGCTCTATAGTCCAAATTATGGTATACTCTATAATCCACCCTATAGTCTAGCCTGTAGTCCTGACTGTAGTATATTCTAGTCCAGAATGTAGTCTACTCTAGTCCAGACTATAGTCTACTCTATAGTCCAGACTACTCTATAGTACAGTATATAGTCCATACAATAGTCCACCCTGCAGTCCAGACTATAGTCTATAGTCCAGACTATAGTCTATAGTCCAGACTGTATTCCACTCTATAGTCCAGACTACATTCTACTCTATAGACCAGACTATAGTCAACTCTATAGTTCAGACTATTTTCTATACTATAGTCCAGACTATAGTCTACTCTACAGTGTAGTCTACTCCATAGTCCTTGTAATAGTCCACTCTATAGTCTACACTACAGTCTGCACTATAGTCTAATCTATAGTCCAGGCTATTGTCTAATCCATAGTCCAGACTATAGTCTGCTCTATAGTCCAGACTACAGTCTACTCCATAGTCAAGACTATAGTATACTCTATAGTCCAGACTATAGTCTACTCTACAGTCCAGACTACAGTCTACTCTACTGTCCAGACTACAGTCTACTCAATAGTCCAGACTATAGTCTACTCTATAGGCTACACTATAGTCCAGACTATAGTCTACCCTATAGTCCAGACTATAGTCTATTCTATAGTCCAGACTATAGTCTACTCTATAGTCCAAAATATAGACTGCTCTATAGTCCAGACCATGGTATACTCTATAGTCCAGACTATAGTCTACTCTATAGTCCAGACTATAGTCTACTCTATAGTTCGGACTATAGTCTACTCTATAGTCCATACTATAGTCTACTCTATAGTCCATACTATAGTCTACTCTATAGTCCAGACTATAGTCTACTCTATAGTTCAAACTATTGTGTGCTCTATAGTCCAGACCATAGTCTACTCTATAGTCCAGGCTATTTTCTACTCCATAGTCTTGATTATAGTTCACTCTATAGTCTACACTACAGACTAGACTATAGTCAAAACTATAGTCCAGACTATAGTCTACTCTATAATCCAGCCTTTAGTCTGCTCTATAGTCCAGACTACAGTCTACTTTATTGTTCAGACTATATTCTACTCTATAGTTCAGACTATAGTCTACTCTATAGTCTAGCCTTTAGTCTACTCTATAGTCCAGACTATAGTCTACTCTATAGTCCAGACTATAGTCTACTCTATAGTCCAGACCATAGTCTACTCTATAGATGAGGCTATAGTCTATTGTAAAGTCCAGGCTATAATCTACTCTAAAGTCCAGGTAATAGTCTACTCTATAGTCCAGACTATAGTCGACTCTATAGTCCAGAATATAGTCGACTCTATAGTCCGGACTATAGTCTACACTATACTCCAGACTAAAGTCTACTATATAGTCCAGACTATAGTCTACTCTATAGTCCAGACCATAGTCTACTCTATAGTCCAGATCATAGTCTATTCTATAGTTCAGGCTATAGTCTACTCTTAGGTCCAGACTATAGTCTACTCTATAGTCCAGACCACAGTCTACTCTATAGTCCAGATCGAAGGAAATAGTCTACTCTAGAATCCAGACTATAGTCTGCTCTATAGTTCGGACTATAGTCTACTCTAAAGTTCAGATAATAGTCTACTCTATAGTCTAGACTATAGTCCATTCTATAGTCCAGACTATAGTCTACTCTATAGTCCAGACTATAGTCTACTCTATAGTCCAGACTAAAGTCTACTCTATAGTCCATACTATAGTCTACTCTATAGTCCATACTATAGTCTACTCTATAGTCCATGACTATAGCTTAATCTAGTCTAATTTTGTTAGTTTCTTTTAGGGTTTCCATATTCGATTTAACTCTACTATATATTCTTCATTACGAAAACAAATACATTTCTGATTGAATATTTTAGCCACTTATACGTATGATTATTAATTTGTGAATTCCCTAAACTCATACGCCATGGGTGACATTTCTAAATAAAAGTTATAACGAATTTGACATTAATTTCTAAAAAATGTAATAAATATTTTACATAAAGGTATTTAAAAAATTGTGTACATAATCGTACAGTTGATAAAAAAGCTGATTTATTGCCATGGATTTTTTCAGATTAAATTGCATATAGAAAAATATTTAATTAAATAAATAAGACAAAATATTTTTGTTAAAAAAAAAAAATAATAATAAATCTTTTCCCCCATTTCATCACAGTAATAAATTTTAACTTTAATCCGTATATTTTATTTTTCATTTGAATAGATATTTTACTTGGAAAATAATTGCAATTTAAAATAAAATTGTTGAAGCTGCTGTTGATTTTCCAGAAAATAGAAAAATAAATCTATAAAATATTTCTTTTTATAAATATAACATTTACTAAAAAATACCACTTGTTTTTATTTAACAAATATTTTATTACATTTTTGTTAAACTGCTGCCATATTTAAAACCATTTTCATTTACTTTTTTCAACAATTTTCTCCACATTTTTAGAACATTGTGGTTTGCATTTATTTGCGTGGCAATATTTAGTATTATTTCACTTAGTCGTCGCACCTGGCAACGTTTTCAAACCTCACCAATGGTCATATCAATGGATCGTAATAAATTGGTTTGGAATACCAGTTTTCCATCATTGACTGTGTGTCCTCATAAACGCATCGATGAGCTTAAAGTTGAGGAATATATTATGTAAGTACTAAATACAGATATTACTACACTAACACAAAAACAGAGAATGTTTTTCTGTGTCCTTCACTTACATTCTTACTCCTATACAAACCGCAACACAACATGAACAGATTGATTCGTAGTGGATTAAAATTTATTGGTTCTTTTGGCTGGACAATTTGGCAACAAAAAGAATAAAACGGCCAGAAAAAAGAAAAATTGATCGAAAAATAAAACGTAACACAGCTGTGTAGAGGGAAATTAAATTGAAAATCCAAAATAATTATCGCCATACGAAACGGAACAAAAGACAAATGTGTTGGGAGAATTGGGGAAAATTTGGCAAACTTTTCACTTTTACAGCAATGAAGATTGAATGACTTGATAATAGCTTTAAATAATTATTTTATTAATCTATTCTATAGTCCAGACTATAAATTCTATAGTGAAGACTATAGTCTTAACTATATATAGTCTGGACCATAAAATAGACTACAGTCAATTCTAGAGTCCAAATTATAGTCTATTCTATAGTCCAGATTGTAGTCTATTCTATAATCCAGACTATATCCTATTATATAGTCCATACTATAGACTATTCTGTAGACCAGACAATAGTCTATTTAATAGTTCAGGTTATAGTATGTCCTATAGTCCAGATTATAGTCTATTCTACAGTCCAGATTATAGTCTATTCTATAGTCTATTCTATAGTCCAGACTATAGTCTATTCTATAGTCCAGACTATAGTCTATTCTATAGTCCAGACTATAGTCTATTCTATAGTCCAGACTATAGACTATTCTATAGTCCAGACTATAGTCTATTCTATAGTCCAGACTATAGTCTATTCTATAGTCCAGACTATAGTCTATTCTATAGTCCAGACTATAGTCTATTCTATAGTCCAGACTATAGTCTATTCTATAGTCCAGACTATAGTCTATTCTATAGTCCAGACTATAGTCTATTCTATAGTCCAGACTATAGTCTATTATATAGTCCAGACTATAGTCTATTCTATAGTCCAGACTATAGTCTATTCTATAGTCCAGACTATAGTCTATTCTATAGTCCAGACTATAGTCTATTCTATAGTCCAGACTATAGTTTATTCTATAGTCCAGACTATAGTCTATTCTATAGTCCAGACTATAGTATATTCTATAGTCCAGACTATAGTCTATTCTATAATCCAGACTATAGTCTATTCTATAGTCCAGACTATAGTCTATTCTATAGTCCAGACTATAGTCTATTCTATAGTCCAGACTATAGAATAGACTATAGTCTGGACTATAGTCTATTCTACAGTCCAGACTGTAGTCTATTCTATAGTCCAGCCTATAGTCAATTCTATAGTCCAGACTATAGTCTATTCTATACTCCAGACTATAGTCTATTCTATAGTCCAGACTCTAACCTATTCTATAGTCTAGACTAAAGACTCTTCTATAGTCTATTCTATAGTCCAGACTATAGTCTATTCTATAGTCCAGACTATAGTCTATTCTATAGTCCAGACTATAGTCTATTCTATAGTCCAGACTATAGTCTATTCTATAGTCCAGACTATAGTCTATTCTATAGTCCAGACTATAGTCTATTCTATAGTCCAGACTATAGTCTATTCTATAGTCCAGACTATAGTCTATTCTATAGTCCAGACTATAGTCTATTCTATAGTCCAGACTATAGTCTATTCTATAGTCCAGACTATAGTCTATTCTATAGTCCAGACTATAGTCTATTATATAGTCCAGACTATAGTCTATTATATAGTCCAGACTATAGTCTATTCTATAGTCCAGACTATAGTCTATTCTATAGTCCAGACTATAGTCTATTCTATAGTCCAGACTATAGTCTGGACTATAGAATAGACTATAGAAGAGTCTTTAGTCTAGACTATAGAATAGACTATAGTCTGGACTATAGTCTATTCTACAGTCCAGACTGTAGTCTATTCTATAGTCCAGCCTATAGTCAATTATATAGTCCAGACTATAGTCTATTCTATACTCCAGACTATAGTCTATTCTATAGTCCAGACTATAACCTATTCTATAGTCTAGACTAAAGACTCTTCTATAGTCTATTCTATAGTCCAGACTATAGTCTATTCTATAGTCCAGACTATAGTCTATTCTATAGTCCAGACTATAGTCTATTCTATAGTCCAGACTATAGTCTATTCTATAGTCCAGACTATAGTCTATTCTATAGTCCAGACTATAGTCTATTCTATAGTCCAGACTATAGTCTATTCTATAGTCCAGACTATAGTCTATTCTATAGTCCAGACTATAGTCTATTATATAGTCCAGACTATAGTCTATTATATAGTCCAGACTATAGTCTATTCTATAGTCCAGACTATAGTCTATTCTATAGTCCAGACTATAGTCTATTCTATAGTCCAGACTATAGTCTATTCTATAGTCCAGACTATAGTCTATTCTATAGTCCAGACTATAGTCTATTCTATAGTCCAGACTATAGTCTATTCTATAGTCCAGACTATAGTCTATTCTATAGTCCAGACTATAGTCTATTCTATAGTCCAGACTATAGTCTATTCTATAGTCCAGACTATAGTCTATTCTATAGTCCAGACTATAGTCTATTCTATAGTCCAGACTATAGTCTATTCTATAGTCCAGACTATAGTCTATTCTATAGTCCAGACTATAGTCTGTTCTATAGTCCAGACTATAGTCTATTCTATAGTCCAGACTATAGTCTATTCCATAGTCCAGACTATAGTCTATTCTATAGTCTGACTATAGTCTATTCTATAGTCCAGACTATAGTCTATTCTATAGTCCAGACTATAGTCTATTCTATAGTCCAGACTATAGTCTATTCTATAGTCCAGACTATAGTCTATTCTATAGTCCAGACTATAGTCTATTCTATAGTCCAGACTATAGTCTATTCTATAGTCTATTCTATAGTCCAGACTATAGTCTATTCTATAGTCCAGACTGTAGTCTATTCTATTGTCCAGACTATAGTCTATTCTATAGTCCAGACTATAGTCTATTCTATAGTCCAGACTATAGTCTATTCTATAGTCCAGACTATAGTCTATTCTATAGTCCAGACTATAGTCTATTCTATAGTCCAGACTATAGTCTATTCTATAGTCCAGACTATAGTCTATTCTATAGTCCAGACTATAGTCTATTCTATAGTCCAGACTATAGTCTATTCTATAGTCCAGACTATAGTCTATTCTATAGTCCAGACTATAGTTTATTCTATAGTCCAGACTATAGTCTATTCTATAGTCCAGACTATAGTATATTCTATAGTCCAGACTATAGTCTATTCTATAATCCAGACTATAGTCTATTCTATAGTCCAGACTATAGTCTATTCTATAGTCCAGACTATAGTCTATTCTATAGTCCAGACTATAGAATAGACTATAGTCTGGACTATAGAATAGACTATAGTCTGGACTATAGTCTATTCTACAGTCCAGACTGTAGTCTATTCTATAGTCCAGCCTATAGTCAATTCTATAGTCCAGACTATAGTCTATTCTATACTCCAGACTATAGTCTATTCTATAGTCCAGACTATAACCTATTCTATAGTCTAGACTAAAGACTCTTCTATAGTCTATTCTATAGTCCAGACTATAGTCTATTCTATAGTCCAGACTATAGTCTATTCTATAGTCCAGACTATAGTCTATTCTATAGTCCAGACTATAGTCTATTCTATAGTCCAGACTATAGTCTATTCTATAGTCCAGACTATAGTCTATTCTATAGTCCAGACTATAGTCTATTCTATAGTCCAGACTATAGTCTATTCTATAGTCCAGACTATAGTCTATTCTATAGTCCAGACTATAGTCTATTCTATAGTCCAGACTATAGTCTATTCTATAGTCCAGACTATAGTCTATTCTATAGTCCAGACTATAGTCTATTCTATAGTCCAGACTATAGTCTATTATATAGTCCAGACTATAGTCTATTATATAGTCCAGACTATAGTCTATTCTATAGTCCAGACTATAGTCTATTCTATAGTCCAGACTATAGTCTATTCTATAGTCCAGACTATAGTCTGGACTATAGAATAGACTATAGAAGAGTCTTTAGTCTAGACTATAGAATAGACTATAGTCTGGACTATAGTCTATTCTACAGTCCAGACTGTAGTCTATTCTATAGTCCAGCCTATAGTCAATTATATAGTCCAGACTATAGTCTATTCTATACTCCAGACTATAGTCTATTCTATAGTCCAGACTATAACCTATTCTATAGTCTAGACTAAAGACTCTTCTATAGTCTATTCTATAGTCCAGACTATAGTCTATTCTATAGTCCAGACTATAGTCTATTCTATAGTCCAGACTATAGTCTATTCTATAGTCCAGACTATAGTCTATTCTATAGTCCAGACTATAGTCTATTCTATAGTCCAGACTATAGTCTATTCTATAGTCCAGACTATAGCCTATTCTATAGTCCAGACTATAGTCTATTATATAGTCCAGACTATAGTCTATTATATAGTCCAGACTATAGTCTATTATATAGTCCAGATTATAGTCTATTCTATAGTCCAGACTATAGTCTATTCTATAGTCCAGACTATAGTCTATTCTATAGTCCAGACTATAGTCTATTCTATAGTCCAGACTATAGTCTATTCTATAGTCCAGACTATAGTCTATTCTATAGTCCAGACTATAGTCTATTCTATAGTCCAGACTATAGTCTATTCTATAGTCCAGACTATAGTCTATTCTATAGTCCAGACTATAGTCTATTCTATAGTTCAGACTATAGTCTATTCTATAGTCCAGACTATAGTCTATTCTATAGTCCAGACTATAGTCTATTCTATAGTCCAGACTATAGTCTATTATATAGTCCAGACTATAGTCTATTCTATAGTCCAGACTATAGTCTGTTCTATAGTCCAGACTATAGTCTATTCTATAGTCCAGACTATAGTCTATTCCATAGTCCAGACTATAGTCTATTCTATAGTCTGACTATAGTCTATTCTATAGTCCAGACTATAGTCTATTCTATAGTCCAGACTATAGTCTATTCTATAGTCCAGACTATAGTCTATTCTATAGTCCAGACTATAGTCTATTCTATAGTCCAGACTATAGTCTATTCTATAGTCCAGACTATAGTCTATATAGTCTATTCTATAGTCCAGACTATAGTCTATTCTATAGTCCAGACTATAGTCTATTCTATAGTCCAGACTATAGTCTATTCTATAGTCCAGACTATAGTCTATTCTATAGTCCAGACTATAGTCTATTCTATAGTCCAGACTATAGTCTATTCTATAGTCCAGACTATAGTCTATTCTATAGTCCAGACTATAGTCTATTCTATAGTCCAGACTATAGTCTATTCTATAGTCCAGACTATAGTCTATTCTATAGTCCAGACTATAGTCTATTCTATAGTCCAGACTATAGTCTATTCTATAGTCCAGACTATAGTCTATTCTATAGTCCAGACTATAGTCTATTCTATAGTCCAGACTATAGTCTATTCTATAGTCCAGACTATAGTCTATTCTATAGTCCAGACTATAGTCTATTCTATAGTCCAGACTATAGTCTATTCTATAGTCCAGACTATAGTCTATTCTATAGTCCAGACTATAGTCTATTCTATAGTCCAGACTATAGTCTATTCTATAGTCCAGACTATAGTCTATTCTATAGTCCAGACTATAGTCTATTCTATAGTCCAGACTATAGTCTATTCTATAGTCCAGACTATAGTCTATTCTATAGTCCAGACTATAGTCTATTCTATAGTCCAGACTATAGTCTATTTTATAGTCCAGACTATAGTCTATTCTATAGTCCAGACTATAGTCTATTCTATAGTCCAGACTATAGTCTATTCTAGTCCAGACTATAGTCTATTCTATAGTCCAGACTATAGTCTATTCTGTAGTCCAGACTATAGTCTATTCTATAGTCCAGACTATAGTCTTTTCTGTAGTCCAGACTATAGTCTATTCTATAGTCCAGACTATAGTCTATTCTATAGTCCAGACTATAGTCTATTCTATAGTCCAGACTATAGTCTATTCTGTAGTCCAGACTATAGTCTATTCTATAGTCCAGACTATAGTCTATTCTATAGTCCAGACTATAGTCTATTCTATAGTCCAGACTATAGTCTATTCTATAGTCCAGACTATAGTCTATTCTATAGTCCAGACTATAGTCTATTCTATAGTCCAGACTATAGTCTATTCTATAGTCCAGACTATAGTCTATTCTATAGTCCAGACTATAGTCTATTCTGTAGTCCAGACTATAGTCTATTCTATAGTCCAGAATATAGTCTATTCTATAGTCCAGACTATAGTCTAGTCCATATTCCAAACTATAGTCTATGCTATAGTCCAGACTAAAGTCTAGTCCATAGTCCAGACTATAGTCTGTGCTATAGTCCAGACAATAGTCTATTCTATAGTCCAGACTATAGTCTGTTCTATAGTCCAGATTATAGTCTATTCTATAGTCCAGACTATAGTCTATTCTATAGTCCAGTCTATAGTCTATTCTATAGTCCAGACTATAGTCTATTCTATAGTCCAGACTATAGTCTATTCTATAGTCCAGACTATAGTATATTCTATAGTCCAGACTATAGTCTATTCTATAGTCCAGAATATAGTCTATTCTATAGTCCAGACTATAGTCTATTCTATAGTGCAGACTATAGTCTATTCTATAGTCCAGACTATAGTCTATTCTACAGTCCAGACTATAGTCTATTCTACAGTCCAGACTATAGTCAATTTTATAGTCCAGACTATAGTCTATTTTATAGACCAGACTATAGTCTATTCTATAGTCCAGACTATAGTCTATTCTATAGTCCAGACTATAGTTCATTCTATAGTCCAGACTATAGTTCATTCTATAGTCCAGACTATAGTTTATTCTATAGTCCAGACTATAGTTTATTCTATAGTCCAGACTATAGTCTATGGACCAGACTATAGTTTATTCTTTAGTCCAGACTATAGTCTATTTTATAGTCCAGACTATAGTATATTCTACAGTCCAGACTATAGTTTATTTTATAGTCCAGACTATAGTTTATTCTATAGTGTAGTTCTGACTATAGTCTATTATATATTCCAAACTGTAGTCTCTTTTATACTTCAGACTGCAGTCCCTTTTATAGTCCAGGCTGTAGTCTATTCTATACTTTCTCAACTTTATTGTAGTCATTATTTTAAAAATTTCTCCTGCTCTTGCGTATTACAGGTCCCACCCTGATGTTTTCACCTCCCAAGAGGATGAAGAAGGCTTTAAAGATTTCGTCGACAAGTTGGCACGACTCTCCTATGACAACATTGAACATTTACCCATGAACAAGACATACGGCATAACAAGTGACAAATATCTAGATTTACTCTATGAATTAAAATGGCAATTTGAGCCGGAAATAAGTAGTGGTGCCGCTGTCAAAATGTTTATCTATGAAACTCAAACTGAATTTGGTATTTGTCATTCCGTCAATAGTCTGGTGGCTCGCTACAATTCATATGAATATTGGAAAAATAATGAGTGGGATTTGTTGGATCATGGCGAGCGGGTGACGGTACATCCGTTAGATGGTGAAATTTATGCACAAATTATTAATTTATCTACAGCCTATGATGTGTATTTTCATAGTTCGGGTGATATACCGAGTATAACAAAGCAACGTTATACATTTCCCGAAACCGATTATACAACAGTAGAACTGATTGCTTTGGAAATTTATACAGATGAGGCGGCAAAAGCGTAAGTTAAGGGGTGGGGGGAGTAGAAAGTTTATTTAGCTGTGATTAATTTTGGAAAAAATATTTTTTTTGTTTTAGTTTTTCCACTAAACAGCGTAAATGTCGTTTTAAATATGAGGCGGAGGAAATGCTAACGGCACCCATCTATAGTTTTGGTTTGTGTTTGGCCGAGTGTCGTTTATTTTTGGCCTTAAGAGTTTGCAGTTGTGTGCCTCATTTCTATAGGAATACATGTAAGTTTAAAAGGAACTGTGGTTAGACTAAAACCACTAGACAGTTTGGTTTATAGTTTAGAAAAATTCGAAATTCATAAAACTTTTTTTTTTCATCGCAGTACGCAATGGACGAGTTCTGCCAATATGCGGTTTAAGAGGACTGGCTTGTATTGCTAAACTTAAAAGTGAGTTAAATTGTTTAAACAATGCAAAAATTTTGTTTAAATCGAAATTAAACTTATAATGCTTTTCTTTTCTAGAGGAAATGATTTCCTTAAAATCGAATCGCTATAAAATCGATTGCAATTGTCTGGCTAATTGTGATGACTCTAATTTCTTTGTACAATCTTATGTGGGTATTGAAATATCAAAGATTTCTTAACAAAATATTTAGAAATTTAAAAATTATATTTTATTATCTAGCGTTCTAGAGTTTGGTTTTTGGGTGCTAATCTACAATGGGGCATTATTGACTATCCCAAGATGCAGCTGCGTCGTGATGTTATTTTCTCATTTGCTGATGTATTGGGTGTGTTTACTGGACAATAACTAATCATTTTTTTTTTAACTTATACAAGTTCTTATTTATTACAGTTTATATTGGCGGTTTGGTTGGCTTTTTCTTGGGCTGCAGTGCTTTGAGTTTCATGGAAATTATATATTATTTTACCATAAGATTTGCGCGAAGATTAATGGCTTAAATTTGATCAGAAAAATATTAAATTTATTCAAAATTATTAATAAATTAATCTCGAAGATAATAAAACTCTTTAAAAATTATAGTCCAGACAACGTTTAATTATAGAGTCCAGAGTATTGTTTCCTTAGTCAAGTTTATAGTCTATTCTATAGTTTAGAATATAGTCCAGATGGTAGTCTATTCTATAGTCCTGACTATAGTCTACTCTACAGTCCAGGCTATAGTCTATTCTATTGTCAAGACTATAGTCTTTTCTATAGTCCAGACTATAGTATATTTTATAGTTCAGACTATAGTCTATTCTATAGTCCAGACTATAGTCTATTCTATAGTGCAGACTATAGTCTATTCTACAGTCAAGACTATAATCTATTCTATAGTCCAGACTATAGTCTATTCTATAGTCCAGACTATAGTCTATTCTATAGTCCAGACTATAGTCTATTCTATAGTCCAGACTATAGTCTATTCTATATTCAAGACTATAGTCTATTCTATAGTCCAGACTATAGTCTATTCTATAGTCTAGACTATAGTCCAAACTATAGCCTATTCTATAGTCCAGGCTATAGTCTATTCTATAGTCTAATCTATAGTCTATTCTATAGTCCAGACTATAGTCTATTCTATAGTCCAGACTATAGTTTATTCTATAGTCCAGACTATAGTCTATACTATAGCCCAGACTATATTCTATTCTATAGTCCAGACTATAGTCTATTCTATAGTCCAGACTATGGTCTATTCTATAGTCCAGACTATAGTCTAATCTATAGTCCAGACTATAGTTTATTCTATGGTCCACACTATAGTCTATTCTATTGTCCAGACTATAGTCGATTATATAGTACAGGCTATAGTCTATTCTATAGCCCGGTCTATAGTATATTCTATAGTCTAGACTATAGTATATTCCTTAGTGCTGACTATAGTCTATTCTGGAGTCCAGACTGTAGTCTATTCCATAGTCCACACGTTCCATAGTCTATTTTATAGTCCCGACTATAGTCTATTCTGTAGTCCAGACTATAGTCTATTCTATAGTCCAAGTTATAATCTATTATATAGTCCAGACTATAGTCTATTATATAGTCCACACTATAGTCGATTTTATAGTCCAGACTATAGTCTATTCTCTTGTCCAAACTGTAGTGTATTCTATAGTCCACACTATAGACTATATTAAAGTCCAGCATATATTCTATTCTATAGTCCAGTCTATAGACTTTTCTATAGTCAGGACTATAGTATATTCTACAGTCCACATACTGTGTTCTATAGTTCAGACTATAGTCTTTTCTATAATTCAGACTATAGTCTATTCTATAGTCCAGACTATAGTCTATTCTATAGTCCAGACTATAGTCTATTCTATAGTCCAGACTATAGTCTATTCTATAGTCCAGACTATAGTCTATTATATAGCCTTGACTATAGTCTATTGTATAGTTCAAACTTTTTAAATTTTGTCTGTAATTTGTAAATTATATTCAACTATTTCTTTTCTTTCAACTTCTGTTCAAAATTCTTTACCTCTAGAGTATTAAACAATTTGCCAAAAATATTATATGTCCGCTTGTTAAGAAAAAAATTTATCACCAACCAACCATCAAGTCTATGAAATTAAAATTGCAAATTTTATGCAAAAATTTAAAAAAGTTTTTTTTTTCTTTTTTTGGGCATAAAAAAGAAAAGCTCACGTGATTTTCTTTAGAACAACAATAGCAAGAAAGAATATTGAATATGAAAATAACTCAAGGGAAAATTTTCACAATAAAATTTGCACGAAACACATGAGCAGTTTAACGGAAGTTAAAATTAAAATATAACAACAGCAACGACAATAATGACAGAAAGAAACCTACAGGCTTTAAAGAGAAAATTTAAAACTTAAATAATATAAATGTCAGTTGCATAAATTATACAAGAAAAGGAAGTAAAGTGCGAAGTGTAAGGAAAAAAATTATATATTTTTATTTATGTAAATTTTTGTTGAAAAATAAGTTTTACGGGATAAATAAATATAAATTGTAGAGCTTATGTTAGTTAAAAAAGACACTAATCTATTTGTTGTTTAGCAATGACAAGTGACAAGCGTAAAATGCTGCAATTTATAGAAAATTAATTTGCAATCAACCCCTTAGAATGGTGATGATGTGTGTTGTTATGTAAGGATAATATTTGCGAAATTTTTGTATAAAGAAATGTTTCGTTGTAAAGGGTGGTGGTCGTGGAATCAGGGAAATCTTTTGGCAAAATCAATTCAACCAACATTTTCTATAGAAAGTTATTGAATTTTCTATAGAAAAGTTATAGAATCATGACAATTCTATTGAAAAGTTATCGATATCATGACTTTTCTATAGAAACGTTATCGATATTAAGACATTTCTATAGAAAAGTCATGATATCGATAACTATTCTATAGAAAAGTCTTAATATCGATAACTTGACTTTTCTATAGAAAAGTTATCGATAACTTGACTTTTCTATAGAAAAGTTATCGATAACTTGACTTTTCTATAGAAAAGTTATCGATAACTTGACTTTTCTATAGAAAAGTTATCGATAACTTGTCTTTCTATAGAAAAGTTATCGATAACTTGACTTTTCTATAGAAAAGTTATCGATAACTTGACTTTTCTATAGAAAAGTTATCGATAACTTGACTTTTCTATAGAAAAGTTATCGATAACTTGACTTTTCTATAGAAAAGTTATCGATAACTTGACTTTTCCATAGAAAAGTTAACGATAACTTGACTTTTCCATAGAAAAGTTATCGATAATTGATTTTTCTATAGAAAAGTTATCGATAACTTGTCTTTTCTGTATAAAAGTTAACGATAACTTGACTTTTCTATAGAAAAGTTATCAATATTGTGTCTTTTCTAGAGGAAAGTTACCGATATCATGGCTTTTCTATAGAAAAGTTATCGATATTATGACTTTTCTATAGAAAAGTTATCGATATTATGACTTTTCTATAGAAAAGTTATCGATATTATGACTTTTCTATAGAAAAGTTATCGATATTATGACTTTTCTATAGAAAAGTTATCGACATTATGACTTTTCTATAGAAAAGTTATTGATATCGATATTATGACTTTTATATAGAAAAGTTATTGATATCATGACTTTTCTATAGAAAAGTTATTGATATCAAGACTTCTATAGAAAAGTTATCAATATTATGACTTTTCTATAGAAAAGTTATCGATATTAGGACTTTTCTATAGAAAAGTTATCGATATTAGGACTTTTCTATAGAAAAGTTATCGATATTAGGACTTTTCTATAGAAAAGTTATCGATATTAGGACTTTTCTATAGAAAAATTATCGATATTAGGACTTTTCTATAGAAAAGTTATTGATATTAGGACTTTTCTACAGAAAAGTTATCGATATTGGGACTTTTCTACAGAAAAGGTATCGATATTGGGACTTTTCTACAGAAAAGTTATCGATATTGGGACTTTTCTACAGAAAAGTTATCGATAACATGACTTTTATATAGAAAAGTTATCGATATAAAGATTTTTCTATCGAAAATTTATCAATATCATGGTTTTTTTTTATCGGAAAGTTATCGATATTAAAACTTTTCTATAGACAAGTAATCGATATCAAGACTTGTGTGTAGACAAGTTTTCAATATCATTACATTTCTATAGAACAGTTAACATATCATGACCTTTCTATTAAAAAGTTATCGATATCGGGATTTTAGAAAATTCATCGATATCATGGTTTTCCCTTAAAGAAGTTATCAACATTATGACAACAATGCTACATCATATTCCTCATGACTAATTAATTTTGTATTATTCATTTTACCTTTTGCATATGTGAACTTATTAAATTAATATATATACATGTGTCTGTGTGTATGTTTATTTTTAGATGAAATCCATCTTTAAATTTTAAATAAATTAAAAAAGCCGGTTTAAGTGGATACAGGTGTTGGTTGTTAATCCAAATCATGATACATACACTCACACGCTCTCAGATATTTTTACAAACAGATTTGTTACCAACAATTACATCGACTTAAGCCTCTTGCTCCATGTCCCCTTGCCGTATGCTATACATTGGTTTAACAAACTAAAATCCTTTTTGTTATAGCTTAAACCCCTTCCTACACTTACCAGCTTTTATTTTCTGTAAAAGGAAAGAAAAAAATTGTTGATTAATTTAAAATTCTCTTTGTCTGTTACAAATTTTTACACCAAAAATACAGATGATAAAATAACACACATATACACATACAAATAGTGAATCCTGGCACTTTTTACAAACATGTAATATTGTCTCTGTGTGAATGTGTTTTTTTGTTGTATAAATTGGGAGGAAAACTGGGGTTATATAAAACATTATAAATATGCATATGTAAATTGAAAATTTTTCAGAGTGTAGTAAGAGTTTTTGGTTTAAACAAAAACAAAAAAGGACTAATGTCTGTAACAACTCAACTTAACTCAAACTGTACAAATATGTTTGCCAACACCCTGGCCCTGTAAAAGCAGCATAAACTGTAACAAGTCCATTTCTGTTTGAGTATTAATGGAAGGACAGACGGACAGATGGATGGATGTACTTGAACACTGTAAATATGCATGCGAACAAAAGGGTTTTTTATAAAGATGTGTTAAAGGTTTGATTAATTAAAAAGTATTGGATTATAGTCTGTGGCTAACTGTTATCTAATGTTCCTCTAAGACTGTACCTTATTTATACAAATACAAATACCACCTTCTACCAGCAATACCCTGTTAACCGAACGAGTAATATACATATGTAATTGTCTATTGTCCCAAGTGTGTTTTAAAAGGTTTGTCACACTGCACCTTATGACTTAATTTACCCCAAAAACATGTAAATGTGTGTACACACAAATACAAATACAATCAGACACAAACACACACACACATACACATACATTTACTCCAAAAAACAAACACACACAGAGGTGTGTTTTTGTGTAATTGTATGAGTGTGAGTATT